GTAGCTAAGCACTTGCATTTGTAGATTCGATACACATGTAACATATACCTATATAACACACGTATGTACGTTTTACATCCTAATACAATCGGTGTTAGAGTATGTATATTTACGTGTGTATGTCTCTCTTTTTTGTACTTTTTAATAATATTTTAAAAATCACTCACACGTATACAGTGTATCGGGTAGTCTGCATAGTTCATCGCGTGAGTTGCAGGATTGAACAAATATACAAATCGAGAGTTCTAAATCGAAAAATCTACATAGTGTACATATACATATACTATGTACATACTGAAAAACTACATACTGAAAAATTTTGCGATGTTTTTTTTTACACTTAAAAAATAAAATTTCTATTTCTTAATAAAAAAATTAATTTGTCCATTTTTATTATTGGAAAAGTGGATATGTATAACGCAATGGATATCTGGATTCAAACATTCAGTATAGGATTCATGGTGGATTTTTTTCCATTTTATTGCAATTCAAAGCAAAGGTTGTATAATTTGTAACATTATGATTGTGGATAAACGCGGAATTTTTTATGTACGAGGTATCTCAGTTGAACTTTGACATTTCATTAGACCCAGTTATTTTTATATGGTACGATAGATATTTCTAATAGACACTACTTGCAAGATATTCCTCTTTTAATTTTGATTTGAAACTGAAATTATTTTCAGTATTATATAAAAAGGATCTACATATTACAACAGATCAATTAAATATCTTTATCGAAATATCTCGTGTTTTGAAATATAATTTTTACGCTAAAAAAACTTTTTGTCACGCTTTCATCGGATATTTCCCAATATTCGGCCTTATACGTTGTGACGGAAAATTGTTCTCAAGCGAGATGACATCGTTTTTATTTACATACGAACGGCTGTTCTCTTTATAGAACACGGCCAACCTTGTTCTATATTCAGCGCGAGTCTTTGTTCCGACTACGAAACAATTAACTCTTCGTCCCCACATCCCGAGCTTTCTTCCTCTGTTCCCCTTTACCTTCCTCTCTTTCTCTTTCGTAAGAGAAAGCTTCTCTTGTCGCCCAAGCTCGAACTTTGACTTTAATTAAATTTATTTCCTCGCCTTGAGTCGACTCTCGAACTCTAATCTCTTCAAACTTTTCCGCGCTTCCCCTCTCGGCAC